GGTAGATTTTCAGGATGTAGATTGCTTACTTTCAATTCATGAATGAATAAAGCATGGACATGGTTGAACTTCTTTGCATGGAAATACGTTTAAAATAACAAAATCAAGACATATTTAATGCAATTACATTTATATCGAGTCAATTTCTTTTCAATAATACAATCGGGATTTATAATAGGTATACCGGTGATTTGGATATTTTAGCCCCAAAAATACCTTTAAATCGACTGTATCTTTCAGGAGTTCGACAGAACTTTTCCTTTCTTCGCTTAAATTATTCCGTAGCACTTTTCTTCAAGAATCTGATAAGATATTGCTGGGGGCAGATCAAAAAACATAAACTCGTTCGAATGGCTTTCTACATTCACAATACACGGTCTCGTCAAAGTGCGTCGTCGAAGAGTTGGATCGTATGAATTCTCTTGTTGTGCTACTTGCCTATTTTGAAATCTCTGTAAATGACAACTAAAGGGGTTGATATGTGTGAGTTAATGACGCGCCTTATCAACATATTGTGTTGGAGTTCACTGCTTGTCTTCCTATTGAAACGTATTGTAGTAAACTTGCAAAATGCCTCGCAATTTTTTCTTGCATTACAACTTGCCTACGAATTTTACACATGAAAGTCAGTTTATCCATTGTTCTAAACTGACATTTATATATAAAAATATTGCAGTTTAAAGGGGGTAAAAATTGCAAATTTACTGCATGAATAATTTGCGAAATTCTTTCAATATTTTCATTGCACTTATTTCTTTGGGAGCGTTTGTAAATTAACAGTTTCCCACGATTTTCGGGATCTTAAGGGGGGGGGGGCATGCGTAATGAGCGATGCGTAAGCAGAGGAGTTCGGATTTGCGTTGCGAAGTGATACAAGGGGAAAAGTAGAGTACCTACATAGCGAGAGTATGGACAAATCGCTTCATGGAGGGCTTAGGACCCAAAAGTGCAGCCACTCTTCTAACCAACTTCTAACACCCAAAATTTCACTGCCAGTCTGCAGATTCTAATTCTGACCAAGATGGCTGAGAATGTACATAAATGAGCGTTCTTCCGCACTAAATGAGTAAATTTATGCAAAAAGTAAGTCAAATACGTGCGTTATAAACGATGGTTCGTAACAATTGTATTATAGTAAATCGCTCGGGATAATTGAAATTCATAGGTTGGCTGCTTTTCTAGGCCCTAACTTTTTTCGCGGAGGCATCGGTGAAGGCCTGATGGATTTTCGGAGTTTCACATCTGTCTATCCTCTCGCTATACAGGTACTCCAGGGAAAAGGGGTGTCAAAATGCCAAAAAAATGCATTCCTAATTATTTATGAACGCTCCCATTGGTCGACAATAACATTTATGGGAAAACTAGGCAACTATGAAATGAGCGTACTTGTATTCATGATGACTTATACAAAAAGTGTCCTTGATAATCTGGCCGCGTCACCGGTGTCATCCCCTGGCAAATGAGTCGCCGGCTTCGGATCTTGATTCGTCTACCCTGACAGGCGACTACCCTGTGCCTCACACCCCGTAGCCGCTCACGTCTCAGTTTGATTTACGGTCATATAATTGAGAGTGTCGTTCTCCCCCAGCCACAGTTGCGGTGCTCTTTAGGGTCGTTCCAGTGTTCCAACTTCGGGCGAAAAGCTGGTCCGAATCTATTGAGAGGGGGAATATTTTAGGTGCGATCTTCCACCCATCTTAGTCTCCGGAAACTTCGAACTTCCCAGGCAATTTGGACCGCAGAAACCAAGTCATATCAGCTATTGCCAAATTTAATTCACTGAAAAAAAAAATCTTAAATTTGCCGCCAAGAAGTATTTTTTCTTAAATCAAGAATTTTGCTGCTTAATATAAAATAATTTTTTGCTTAAACCAAGCCTTACTTTCCTTGCATCAAGAAAAATTCAGCTTAAATCAAGATGAAAACAATTCTTGGCGGCAAATTCAAGAATCTTTATGCTCGAGCCAAACGCCTTTTTTTCAGTGTTGGGCACTTAAATTTTTTATTTGACAACGGTTGTGCGGATTCGTGTTCAAATTTCAGTGAATTTTCTGCACAGCGAGAAGCAAATTCCTTAAAGTTTTAAGGACAAAATTTTAAAGGAGCTCTCACAAACGTTCTCTTTTAGAACATTAAATTGCCCAGTTAAATTTGGCAATAGCTGACGTGGCTTGGTTCATTTCTGCTAAACGCAGGTCATATGACCCTGCAAATGACCGAGCGCCTTTGAGGACGAAACAGTTTAAAGGTTCAAAAGTTCTTAGGAGGCCCGCTAATGATCGTCTCCCTGAGTTCCCCATTTCAGTGATATTTGTGAAAATGCGCTTAATGATTCTTCGAGTTGCGGGTACTTTGTCTCATTGATGGTATTTTCCAAAAAAAAAAATCGATGTTAGAAGGTTGGCTGCCCTTATGAGTCCTAAATCTTCCATGAAGTGGACTGTCCACTCTCGCTACATACAGGCAGGGCCGGATTAAGGGGGTGGCCACATGGGTCGTGGCGGCAAATCTAAGGGGCGGCAAAATTTTGCAATTTTTTAAAGTGTAGGTATAAAAAAAAATCGGATTTATAAAAACAAAATTACAAACGAGAAAAGGCGACATAATCTCTTATTTCCTGAGAGTATAATAATTTCTAATTTTGTCGTCTCTTAGTGATACAAGAGACAGCACCTTCAATAAGTCGAGTTAAGAGAGAGACCAAACACGCAATTTGGCTTGGAACGGCGCGACCCAGAGAGAAATGATAATTAGGACTTGAGATGAAAAGGAGAAGCCCTCGGCGCGGCAATCGGCATGTAACACATATTAGCGCCTACAAAACTGCACGAATACTTCACGCATTGCATCAAACATAGTGCGGTCACTGCGGTCAGCGTGAAACGGACATAGCGCCTACAAGAATGCATGAATACTTCACGCGTTGCGCCAAACACAGTGCGGTCAGCGTGAAACGTATAGCGCCTACAAGACTGTCGGAATACTTCACGCATTGCGCCAAACACGGTGCGGTCTGCGCGGCGCGGCGGCGGAAGTTTCAATCATTGATCCACATTTATGTTTGTTCTTTCATAATTTTTCGTCCATTTCTCATGAATGGAAGGCCTTGTCCACACAGAGATAGGTTTACGGAACTTAACTTTCGCGCAAAGTTCCGTGAACTTTTGCTAGTAGTGTTGACAGGGCTTTCACAAAAAATGTGTTCAACACGAGTAAATGCGTCTTATGCACCCCTCCCCCGCTGACACGTTCATTTGATGGTTTTTATCGAGTTTCAAAACGAATGAGAAGGGGGCGGCAAAATTACTCCGGCCATGTATACAGGTACTCTACTCATAGGAGGTTAGCATTGCGATGAAAGCAATTGGAGCGAAACTCGGAGACCAATCGGAAAACGGCACAACCTTCATGCTCTGAAGAAATGCAAATGACATCATTTTCCCTGTTGAGGCACTTAAAGCGAAAACTCAGGGTGATTCAAGGTTAAACCGTCAAACTGTGGGAGCGTGTTCAATACGTCAAAATAAGTCATTTCCGTGGATGAAGTTTGTCCCAAAAGTGCTATTTGAGGGGTTATAGCCCTTATTCCCTTAAAGTTCTGGGAAATAAATCGCTTTTCCCTGACGGCAACGGTGATATACCAAATGCCATGAAAATTGGTGTGCACCTACAATTTGATACGCTGAATTCATTAGCTCATTAGCTCATTAGCTCATTAGTTCAAAGTTAAAACTTGGGTTTCGGGGAAGGGGGGGGGGTCTGCGGAATATTACTTCATACGTCAAAAAACCAAGATTTTGGCCTTTTTAAATTTCAAACCTCCCTGAAACCACTTATTTAACTGAGATTATGATTCTTCTGATGTCACCGGTAAATTCAGCGTATTGAGATTCGGTGCATTACCGACCGTTGCCAAAATGCAGGAACAATTATTTATTTCCCAGAACTTTGAGGAAGGCTGTAGCCCTCTTTCAAAGCACTCTTGGGATACATTGCACGGAAGGAAAAACTCTGATTTTGACCCACAGCACACGCTCCGGCAGCCAGGCGGTTGAACATTGGATCACCCTGTAAATTCTCTTGGTCCCGAAGTTGCGCTTTAAGTTTTCTCGGTATGTCCACAGGAATCCGAGAGACTGGAGGAGCTCAAACGGGAGCGAGTCCGAATGCTGAAGCAGGATGTCTCGACGAAGCGGACCGACCTGTCAGCCTACCCGGCATTGCAGGAGAACTACGCTGCCAACCTCAAGAAGATGGAGGCCCGCCAAAGGAAACTGGAGGCTCTGCGCGCTAGCCAATTTAAGATCAATCGCAGCGTCCAGCAGACAAAACGACGAATTCGGATCCTCCACAAACGGAATGCAAGTCTCCAGGGTCTCGGCCCAGGCCCCACGACCACTCCTGTCCGGAAGCCCAGCCCCCGGATCACTAGGACGCCCGTCCCTCGGATCCAACTTCCCGCCATAAGCCTAGAATCTTAAGAAGCGTTAGATATTGCTACCGTGATAGCATAGGCTTAGCTGGGTCATCTTGCTGGGGGGCCTGGCCTCCCACCAGGGAAGGGTCTGGGGGGTATGGAATACCCCCATGGGCGTAGCTAGGGGGGGGGGGGGGGCTGGCCCCCCAGAAATCTCGTGCCCCCCCCCAGAAAAACGGGATCCTCCATTCCTCATCCCCCGCTCTCTTCACCACGAGAGGTGGTCCCATGGCCCCCCCAGAGAAATTTTCTAGCTACGCCCCTGAATACCCCCCCCCAGCTCAGTGGGGGGTCCGGGGGGCCTCCGCCGAATTTTTTTTGAAATTTTAACTCTATTCGAGCGCATCTCGAGGCACATATTGTGGTGCTAATTTTCCTTCAATTTCTGTCTAAAAATCACCCAGTTTTATGCATTTTAAGGTTAAAATAGATTGAAATTGTTGCATTCAACAGGTTATTCTATTTATAGGCATCCTCTCACGGGCCACGGCGACAGAGACTTACCGTTGAGGAAGGTGATTTTGCACCATCCAGAATTTCTGGGCGGGGGGGGGGCAGATGATACTATTTCCAATTCTGGGGGGGCCAGGCCCCCCTGGCCCCCCTCTTTCTACGCCTCTGCGTGATAGCGAAGAGAGCAGTAAGTGCAAAAATGAAGTTTTGAGTATACGGGCTCAGGAGCGCATCTTACCGGAAAATTTTTATTGAAAGCAGCCTCCGTTCTTTCTCAAATTATCACTAATCGTCCGAAAGACTCCTAGAAATCGTTTGGATGATTAAAAATCGACTGATTTTGTTTCAATTACAAAAGGGTATTTTTCATCTTCATGCTAGGTTATTGTTAGGAAAGACAGCCTTAAGTGCTATCTTCTGCATACCTTCGTGGTTGCATTTTGGACACACAATATGCTCATTTTCAGGTTAAAAATTGGCAGAAGAGGGCGGCACTCTACTTGAAAGCACTGTTTTCATTGGCTCTCTGGAGGAATATTGTCACTTACTGCTGTCTTGCCTCAAACTACATACTTTTTTGCGCACCTATACGGCTCTCTCATATGTCTCGTCTTTATACAATATAGATTGCTGTTTTACCTAGTGATTTTATTCAAAAGATATTAGACGAATTTGGAAGGAAACTCGATTCCGAGAATTTGACACTTACCTACTGCCCTCTTCGCAATTGCGGCAGAGTGGAACCTCAGAAAAGGTACGGATTCAAGCATTTTTATAATTGTTACCTCTATAAAATTTCACGTAACATACGATTCGCGCAACGCAGATAACTGATATTAAACCAATATCACAATGTTTTTATTTAGCATTGGTCACGAGAATTGAATTTCCCGCTCACACGGAAAAGCACCCTGGTAAAAATTGGCAGTAGAATGTGTGTTTCAAAATGCTATAGACCTACAGCCGCGGCTGTAAGATTTCCAATAGCTTCTGTAGCCGGCTGTACAATTTCTTATAGCCTTTTATAGCCGATGGCGATTAAGCAACAGCCAGCCGATAAAGTATATGCTAAACGTTATACTAAATACGTATACTAGGACTTAGTTAGTTTTTGGACTACCGCTCTCTTTTTGTGCCGTAGTATTTTGATTTAGTTTGCGAGGAAAGCTCCGTACTTTTGAAGGTTGCCTGTCATTCTTAATATATTGGAGCGCCCTCAATTTCTTATGACACTGTGCAATACCTCTGGTGTGAAATAGTTGCTTCAGACGCCGTGGCACGCTGCGGGTCGCGGCGCGGCGGGCGGGTAGAGAGCGCGGAACGCGCATTGGCGCCTACAAACCTAACAGGGATACTTCACGCATTGCGCAATGCGTGAAGTATCCCTGTTAGGTTTGTAGGCGCCTGTGCATCGCCGCTCCGCTTTGTGTTAGGCTCTAATATTTAATTTCGCGGAGTCAGCGTTTTTCAACTCATGATTTTAAAATGTTTGCACACTCTGTACTATTCTCATTTTAATTGATGAAAAAAAAAATATGTTTTAAAGGAAAATATAATGTGTGTTTTGTAAATATAAAGGTAGTTCCGTATCAAACTAAATGATTTTCAAAGCACACGAATTTCTACACAATTTCTTATAGCTTTTTATAGCCAATGGCGATAAAGTGTAAAGCCCGGCGATAGGAGCTATATCCCGACTGTATACTTTTTTATAGCTTCGTATAGCCCGGCTATATGATTTGCTCCGCTTTCTACAGCCAGCTATATGATTTTCAATAACATTCCTTAGTCGGCTACAAGAGCTCCTATGGTATTTTGAAACGCAGCTCCTATCGCCAATTTTTACCAGGGCAGATTCTAGGTACTTGAATCAAATCGCGCACTGCGCCGGTTTTGGCAGGCTTCTCAATTGATTTCAAACGGTATCAACCCTCTATCCTGGGTTATTCAAAAAAAGTGTAAATAACATGCAACAGCAAAGCCGAAGCGCCGAGATTGAGGTTGTCATATTCATACCGCTGAGATCGTTACGGTGTAACGTGTGAAGTGCGATTTGAAACAAGCGGATGATTGCTTTTTCTTTGAGTTGGAAGTTTGAATGTACGTATAGAATGTACACGTATGTACACGTTAGTATCTTAGTAGGGAGTTCCTTTCAGAAATGCGCGTTGTACAAAATAAATCGTGTCTAAGTTAAATGACGTATTCATCAAGAATGATGCTTGAATTTGCACCTTGTCTGATCGTGGTCCGCGATGAACTTTTTCCATGTACATCATGACGAATTTTTTTCTGTTCTCTTAAAGTTTATCATTACGTTAACTATCACAAATGTACAGGTTAATAGTTTAATTATAGTCATTAACGACGCAGTCCAAACTTGTTATGTATCATTTGTCTTAGCACACATGGGTGGAACTAAGAAACTTTTATGGAGAGAACCAGAGGAACACCTCATCAGTGTGGTCAGGGGAGCACAGGTAGAAACTCCACCAAAAGGGATTCAAAGGACTCCACCAGCGGGCTGATTGTTGAAATTGATAGACCAAGCGAGAGACAAAAAAGACATGGGTGCGAGTATGGAGCGATCCTAGTGGTTAAAACGGGTGGTTGTTACGGACAGAGGGGAAAATAATAGGCTAACTAAAAGGTTTCTTTAGGTTACCTTTAGTTAGTCTATCACTAACCTCCTTTGTTCATTGCAACTACTCGCTTCCACCAAGAGGATCCCTCTATATTCTTTTTGTCTTCTTTGACTATAGCTTTGTCTACCAATTTCCAAAATCAGCCGGCAGCTCCTTACAGGCGTTCTGAGCGGTTTCTTCAGCTCTAAAGGGGGTTCCGAGAAGCCATCTCAGGGCAATTTTGATGAATCAGAGGCACCTCAAGAGCAATTTTGAGTCTCGACTATGATGTTAGTAAACCTATGTCCACTAAATTATAGAAAGTCTGGGGAGGAGTTATCATTAAAGCTATTCAATCAGCTTTTAGATTTCATATCGAATTATCGTGGTCCTAAAAAAATTAACAGGATGTGTACCCTAGATTTTTGGATAATTTTGTCAAAAGTTGAGGAAATCATTCGAACGACTGAGGAGTAGAGCACGTAGCTGAAGAGAATTATGATCACTCAAATGATATGTTGCTCAATAACAACGGCAGTATAGCTTTTCAAATGTTTTATTTTTATTTATAAACAATTAAAAATGCATAAATCAGTTCAGATAATAAAGCTACAACAAAAGAAGGAAGGTATTTAATTTTTTTTTATAAAATATGAAAATTTGATAGGTAGGTTAATCGCTCAAACTAGAAAAATGACGTCAAAAGCGCCAGAGCCAAGGAGAGGAAACAGTTCAAAAGTATTTTAGATGCTTATGTGTCTTCGTTAGGTTATGCGACAAACCAGCAGTGATTTTGGTAAGTCGGTAACTTTTAGTTTCGTCCATCTAAATTATTTATGTAAAACAATCGATTCTTATATTGAAGCGGGCTGCCTCATTTGGAACCGATTGCTCATAATTGATTTTAATGGATTATAAACAGTTTTCCCATAACTTATAAGGATCTCCACTGGTATAACAACCCTCAATCATGCATCATATGGGTAAAAGTTGCATGCTCGCAATGACTTAGGTGTAACAAAGTCTCTTGTTCCGACGAATATTACAGGAATATACTGTCATAAATTTTGGCGGTAAAAAATTAACTATAGAGGTATGTTCATCGTAGAACCTACACGTATGTTAGACATAAATGTTCCGTGAGATTAACGGTCCTTACGGTAAAATTAAGTGCTTAAACTCGAGTTTAATGGTACGAAAACTTAATGTATCCTATCATTATTTTCCATAATACTATATGAACACTTAAAATAACACTACGATAAGTAGTTTATGAGGAGAGGGGAGGCGTGAATAAAGTACTCGAAACATATTATTCAGCACCTAAAAAGGTATAAAAGATATAAGCTCCGAATGGGAAAAGATATTTATGACTAGAGATGACAAAAGAACCAAAAGGCCTACAATTTTCGTATATTGGGTGATTAAATGGTCGATTTTGGATTGTACCATGCAATATTTTTCAAACAAATTTATGACAATAATGTCACAAAAGTTAAAATTGAAAAACAATTGAAGCCCAGTCATTTAGCTCTGAAGCGATTTCAAAAACACGCGTTTTTTATGTGGTTAAAAAAATTGTTATAGACAACCTGACAGGGTAAATTTTGATAGTCAGTTCCCATAATACGACAGAAATACATCAAAATTGCATGTTTTGCCACTTTAAAATAATCATCAATCCAGTCCTTTCTTTATTACAATATTCCAGGCGTATGATGCAAATTTCCCAAAAATGAAGAATGGACTCCCAAACGAGTGATGAAATATCGGTTCTTGTACGGTGAAACGTAGATATATTTAAAGTTTTTTCCTGTTAATGATCGAGACATTTGCTCACTTAATACAGAACCTCCCATATTTTTTAAGCTCATACTTCGAATATTTACACATCATTTATAGCATAGATGGGAACAATTGGTTTCTGCGAAAAGCCTTGTTCTATGACTGGATTGTATTCATTCGTAAGTATTTCAATGTTTATTTGAATGAGAATGAAAAAAAAAACTGACGAGATGAGACAAGCGCTTACAGGTGGACTTGCTCCCTGAAGTTTTCACTAAAATAGAGCTGATGTTTCTTCTCTCTTTTTCTTACATATTTGCGATTAAAATAGGAGAGCGACGGGGAAATTTGCTACGCACTTATCAAATAGCAGGTATAGGGAGGGAGGGAGAACAGCCTACTTCACTGAGAGAGAGGGAGAGAGAGAGAGAAATAAAGGCATCTGTGGTGCATCATTGTAGCTCGAGGAAGGAAATTAATCTGAAAGTTTACGACGCGACGTTTATTCTTTAAAATGTGTTTCTATGTAATCAAAGGATTTGGCATGAAAAAAACTTTTACTTTAAAAGGTTATTCGTTTTAAAAATGGAAGCATTCGCCTATTTTCGTACCTTAACAAAGTTTTATCAGTAAAGCTTCTTTTTGCACACCCTTTCTTTAGAAAATTACACATCTATGTATGTGAAGATCGACGCAAAGATGGGAATATTTTCTGCAATAACGTTCTATTCATTAGCTGAAGGCACCAGATACCGGTGTTGTAATTTCCAAATCGAATAAATTGTTTGAATGAACCAATAAATCTAACAGATACATGCAACCTAGTTACACATCAATGGTGAACTGCGGATGGAAAATAGTATTTGGGATCACGCTATTCACAGTGCTGATGGACTCCTGATGTCCCTACTCTAATAGCACGAGACGTGCAATCTACAAAAGAAAATGTTGCTGAACAATTTAAACTAGTAAAAATTACGACATCCACATTTTTTTACAATTTCTTTTATGAGCTGCACTTCCAAGGTCATAGTTTACCTACTCGCTCATTTTTCAATTTGAAAAATTGCGATAAATTTTGAAAAATAGCAAATCCACTACGCTCCACTTTATACGTGGCACCTGTGAGTTTTTGGCAGTATTCATTTGCGTAAGGAACTCAAAGTCGAATAAGATGTATTAACCGAAAATCAACCTAAGTGCCAACGTGGAGAAGAACCAAAATCTGTACCAGGGATTTTTTGAATGCGGGGCGGGGGTGGCCCAGCAGACCCAAGAATGGTACCACCGAACAGCACCCAAACCAAACGCACGACCAAATACGGCAGGTGGTCACCGGAGCACCCCCTCCTCCACGTTGCCTAACTTCCTGTCTTGTTTCATTTTTGTCATCGAGACCGAAACAACATATATAGTGCCTTAAAACTCTCTTTGAATTTTACTCAGAACATGAAGAAAATTGGTGCCTACTCCCAAGATTCCAAGTCACCTTGTTGCTTGGTTTTCTGGGGAAAAAAATACAACATACTGGGAAATCAGGCGACGTCTGATAAAAATAGGCTGATTCTGGTGAAATAATTTGGTTCAACTTCCCATGTAACGTAGAATGTGAATTATTTGTTTGTTTGTTTGGTTTGTTTTGTTTTTTTGTTTTTGGAAAAAAAATGAGTGTCGGAAACACAGATAACGCAATAAGATTAAGTTCCTCTCTCTCTCTCAGTGTTTACGCGAGAATTAAATAAAAATAATTAAATAAATAAATTTTAAAAAAAAAACCACGAAGAAAATGATGCCTCATGGCCAAAGTATCTATCACAAGGTCGACGATTGGCCGGCGCAGCGCGGCGAGGAGGAGTCGGGCACTGGTGAAGTAGGTTGAAAATGTACACTAAGCCCCGGCAGGTGAGCATCATCGAGGGATCTTCCTTTCAGGAAGAAGTTTCGCGGGGAGGATGCAGAAAAATGTACAAATTTATAACAAAATAGAATGGAGATCATGGTCGTTTCCGGGGTTGATTCGCGCCCAAGGGTCCGAGGGTCTTACATGATGGTGCACTTGCCCTTCTCCGCCCACGGGTTGTTCTTCTTGTCTGGCGCGTGGATCAACGGGTCGTTCTTCTCGTTCTCCTCCACGAACTCTCGCATCCTGAAACAAAAATCATCATTTTTCACACTGCGGGTAGGTAACATAAAACCACAGAGTACAGGGAGTCGTAATGTAAATAGGAGAGCTGGCGCCATGTTCTGGTCGACGAGTTCCGAACCCGGTGTGCGCCGAGCTTCGGTCACTTTTTCGATACATGTTCGATCCAAAATGGTGGCGTGGAATGCGCGGTAATTCCTATCTTCTTTGTCTACTTCGGATAGCCGGGTCCTCGTGTATCGAAAACAATCGATTATGTATCGAAAAAATGACCCGGCGTCACACAGGAGTCACGGAATTCGGAACCTAGAAAATGAGTGAAAGTGGCGCCAACTCTCCCACTTACATTACGACTCTATGTACTCATGCATAAAACAGCACTTATATATATATTTCAATTAATAGTTATAAAAAATGTATTGAAAAACGTTAGGAAAGTAGAGATATAGAAGAACTAGGGGGCCCTGCCCCCTGACCGCTACGCGGCCCAACCCCCGGGAGGACGCGCCCTCAGGCCCGCTTCGCGGGCCCTATACGCATATGTATAGGCAAAAATGTTCTTCCATTTTAATACACCATTTTGTGTTCGAGCTGCATCGATTTCAAAATTTTTGACGTAACACTCAGATTTGTAAATGATGTGGAATAGCTGGATGTACATAATTTCAAAGTCCACTTACTGGAGAAATTTCCATTTATTATGTTATTTATAAATACTTTATTTAAAAAAAAAAAAAAATCGGATTTCGACCGTTAAGAGTTAATAATATTTGGTCCGTCCCGACGCGACGCAGCGCCTGCCTTTTCACTTCGTATCTGCTGTTTATCTGCTGTAAATATTAATAGAAATTCAGCAATCAAGTAAATTGACCAATGCCACAAATCGAAGCCGGAAGAATGAGGAAAAAGTGAGTGAAAACCTTATACCTTGGACCTTGAACCTTGAACCCTGAGCGATGCACCGTTCCTCAACTCTTCGAATGAGGAGCCCTTCACGAGCTTTTCCATTGTTTTATTGTTTATTCGAGTCACTCAGGTAGAATCCCACACCTTGACGTTTCTAGCGGAAACGACATATCTGTCACGCTTTAACATTGGACTTAAGTGACATGAGCTTTAAAAGCTGTACAACATTAAAAGTTCGGGGTTTCATAATTTTTTGCACATCTACGTCTACTACAGATGACATACATGTAAAGATCATCCTTATCGGTCAGGCAGTCCGTCAGAAATAGTGCTTCCAAGATTTTGCTTGTAGCTGTATAATATAGAGATAGAAGATAGATAGAGATAGATGTATTTATATTTACTCCAAGAGGCTATTGGAGTAGGATTGTCGGAGTCCTGACAGTGTGGCAACCCTGACGTGTCGGCGAAGGACGGAAGAAGCAGTGCGGAAAACCAGGATACGAAGGAAGAATGCAAATGAAGGATAGGATGGTGCTCGTAGGAAATTGAAAACAAGAAGCGGGGCACATATCCGCAAATGCCTCGGTCCTTTCGAGCACGAAGATGGGATGGTCGCAAATAAGGATGCTTTTGCGGCATATTCCATTCGCAATCGCCGCCGATCGTGGAAGTGAAGACGGAAACCCTTCGCGAAAACAGCAAAATTACCGTGCTACAAGGAGAAACGCCGTGTGAACATTGGAGGGTACCAATAATTGGATCGCATTTGGCAAAAAGGAACCAGCGTGATTACAGTCTTGTAAGAAATGTTGCTTCTTCAAAATTATCAAAAACAATCTTCCAGAATAGCAATTAGTTCTTTCTTCCCACCAACAAATTGTTAATTTTAAAGACAAATAATTGGTTAATTTGAGAATCTTTAAAAGAGTAGAAGGACCCTGGTAAAAATTGGCGATAAGAGCTGCATTTCAAAATACCATAGGAATTCTTATAGCCGGCTAAAGAAGGCTACAGAAAATCATATAGCTGGCTGTAGAATGCGGAGAAAATCATACGACCGGGCTATACGAAGCGATAAAAAATTATGCAGCCGGGCTATAGCTCCTATCGCCAGGCTTTACACTTTTTCGTCTGGCTGTTGCTTTTTCGCCATCGATTATAAAAGGCTATAAGGAATGGTGTAGAAATTCGTGTGCTTTGGAAATCATTAAGTTTGATACGGAACCACCTTAATATTTACAAAACACACGTTATATTTTCCTTTAATACATATTTTTTTTCTTACATTCAAACGAGAATAATCCATACAGGATGTGCAAACATTTCAAAATCATGAGTTGAATAACGCTGACTCCGCCAGATTAAATATTAGAGCCTAACACAAAGCGGAGCGGCAACGCACTGGCGCCTACAAACCTAACAGGGATACTTCACGCATTGCGCAACGCTTGAAGTATCCCAGTTAGGTTTGCAGGCGCCAATGCGCGTTTCGCGCTGGCTGCCCGCCTGCCGCGCCGCAGCGTGCCACGGCGCTTGAAGCAACTATTTCACACCAGGAGGTATTGCACAGTATCATACGAAACTGAAGGCGCTCTAATATATTAGGACTGACAGGCATCCATCAAAAGCACGGAGCTTTCCTCGCAAAATAAATCAAGATACTACGGCCCAAAAAGAGAGCAGTGGTCCAAAAACTCAATAAGTCCTCGCATCCGTAATTAGTGACGTTTAGCATACACTTCATCGCCTGGCTGTGAATTGCTTAATCGCCATCGGCAATAAAAGGCTATAAGAAATTGTGTAGCCGGCTATAGAAGCTTTTGGAAATCTTACAGCCGGCCGTAGGTCTATGGTATTTTGGAACACAAATTCTACTGTCAATTTTTACCAGGGGAGTTGCACAATTTTGAAAACACTGGAATCGAGCGGGCTCCTTTTTGCTAAATGCGATCCAATTGCCCCTGATGAAACATGTATTTTGGAGGAAAGATACGCATACTTCTCCTTGAAATTTTCAGATAATTTAGCTTGAATCGTAGATAAAACTTTCTGAAAAAGTTGAGGAAAAATATTTACAATTTTTCCAGTGAATTCAATATTTATTGAAAGAAACGCTCATAGGGCGTTCTTCCTTAACGCGGCAGAATAACAGCGTTGAGTGAGCCGATCATACAATTGGACCGCGTTTAACAGAAAGGAACCAAGCCACATCAGCTGTTGCCAAATTTAAGTGGTAAATTTAATTTTTTGCGAGAGAACGTTTATGCAGATTTCTTTGAAATGTTTCAGGAATTTGCTTTGTACTGTGGGGAAAATTCACTGAAATTTGCACAAAAATCCGCACAACCGTTTTCATGTCCAAAATTAAATTGCACAATTACATTTGGCAATAGCTAATGTGGCTTGGTTCCTTTCTGTTTAACTCGGTCCAATTACGTGTTACCGAGGAAAACGCTCAAATTCTCGCGACGGAATTCAAAATCCCACTAACCTAATCTAAATGGAATGAATGATTCAGTTGAAACATGCAGCAAACTTCTGTCTTATTTGTAAGAAAAACACAGCAAAGGTAAAACCGTCTAGGTAAGTGCGCGAGAATTGACGTGATTTCGGTCATTGATACGTTAGATATAATTTGCCGAGCTAAGTAAATACACTTTATAAGCCCTCAGACGTTGCCAAACTGCCTTTGAAAAAATACGAATTTTGAGTGAGACTTGCGTATTTTTACCTTCCAATTGTTCGGAAAAGTTCATTCGCAATTTATTCTATGGTATCTGAAAATTTCCAAGAAGGAAATTCATCAATTTTCGAAAAATTGAAATTTTTAAAGGGGGGAGAATGTGGCAATATCCGGATGTTAATTCTGCGTTTATCCTTAGCACGGCAGTGATGCACTCCCGCATATGCACACAGCGACGGTGAAACTGCAAGAATGGGTATCTCGGTTGCGGAGTTTCGAAATCTCCACATGCTATTTCAGTTTTTAGGAGGCCGAACTAACAACATGGCTTGAATTTTTATAATGTAATTACCTATGATTAAATGTCATTTACGTAATGAGGCAACTGGGTAAAAGGGAAAGTTTTTAGGGAGGAGAGATACCGGAATCGATATTTTATGCATATCATCGGTATACTTGAAGACTTTGAAGTGTAGAACAAGTGAAGTGTGTGTGACTTTGAAGTGTAGTGTTTGCATGACACTTATTTTGTTGTTGCACATTTTCATTATGTCTTATCAATAGGAATTATTTTTGCTATTGTAGGAGGAGTTATTATTGATTTCCATTAATCTTGGGCTTAACTTTAAATAATTATAGCTTGGTGTCTCAATTTTATATTATGTTCATTGGAGTAAATTTCACGCATCGCGCCAAACACAGAGCGGTCGGCGCAAAACGCATAATAGCTCTTACAAGAGTGCAGTGATACTTCACGCATTGCCCCATTAACACAGTGCGGTCGCCGGTCGGCGCGAAAAGCATTAGCGCCTACAAGAGTGCAGTGATACTTCACGCATTGCGCCGTTAACACAGTGCAGTCGCCGCGCCGCGCCGGTCGGCGCGAAAAGCATTAGCGCCTACAAGACTGCGGGAATACTTCAAGCATTGCGCCAAACGCAGAGCGGTCGCTGGTCGGCGTGAGACGCATGTCAACGGCAAAACTGCAAAAATCCGTACATCGGTTGCGGTGTTTTGAAATTTCCGCTACTATTTTCTTTTTTAAACAGAGACCGAATCGCTATTATGGCTTAAAGGTTTCACAGAATATTCATTATGAACAGAAGAATAAGCACTGAAATTTTCAAAAAATGAAGTTCAGGAGTTTTTCACGTAGAAAATTAAGTATGAAAGAAAGTTTGCAATGTCGCAAACCGATAGGCGTACCTATTTCTGCAGTTTCACCATCGACGTTTTGTTGCAAAACTCTCAATGTCGATTGTTGGATGTTGCGGATACTATTAGGCTTTTTACATATGTTATATTCCACGTATAAGAGAGGACCTAACATCTCATGTTTGAAGAAAGCAGATCGAGCCTTCAAAATGATAAGAACCCTTTAAGACCCTTTGAGATGTTATTTTCAGATTTG